CTTGAATGGTCTCCAAACTTGATGACTTAACTGGACGAATTTCCGTAGTTATCGAAGCAGAAAAAGGACAAATTTTTGCCCGCACTCAGCCCGTGCTGCAGTTTATAGAAGATTATTCGCCATTTTCCTCGATAACCGGACCGAGAGTGAATCAGTACACTTAGTCATATTTGATTGCAAGGCCTTCACATAATTGAAGAATCTTGTGTTTTAGAAGTCGCAATAACCTCTGGTTAGGACAATTCTGAGTCCCTACGCACCTCACTTGTTTGAAATTTTTAACGACAACCGCTCACTCGGCATTTTTCGTGTGGGTCAGTTGCATCGGATTCTAACGATCGCTAAATCGACCTCCTGTCACTTAAAGGGGTCTAAATACACTGCTGTCTAAGTCAAGGGCAGAACAGTGCCGGTAATCCAACACATAGGTGAACAAATGTATCGGGTCGAATACATGATTGATTTGAGTGACATTGTTTTCATAAATGCTTATTTGTACTGATCATCTATTTAAACTGCACGAAATATCCAAGCCTCCCGTTATTCACGCAGTCTTATGGTTCACTCTGTAAACGTATCGTACTCCTTATTTTTTTCATTCTAATCATTCGAAATGAGGTCATATATTGAGTACTGTATGGTCACTCTCTTCCTTTAGTTGTCGAAGTAGGTGCGAAATAAATTAGGGCATTTACAGCCAGTAACACTTCTGTTGAAAACGGTTTGTCAACGCGCAACGAGATCACTGCTACAGTATTGCCATCGACAATTCGACCGTTTATTTTGGAATTTATATTTGTTAGCGCTAGAACGGCACTGTCCATACAAAATTAGTTTCGTAAAAAATAATAATTCAAAAACGAATTTGACAATATGCGCAGGTAAACGAAGAAAGTCATAATAATGTCAGCAGAAATTGCCCTTTTGGGCGACATTTATCAATGTTTTGCAGTTAATTATGAACTTAAAAACTTAAAATTGAAGGCAGTTAAAAAACTCTTACAGGGAAAATGGAGGCAGAGCTCAACGGGCCTCAATTTTCAAAAAGCGTGTAAGAGAAAAAAAAACTACTTAGGAAGATAAGACAGAATAGTAGAGTAGAAATATGTGTAGGAAGTCTGATAATGGTTAGTAGCCAACGAAACGGCAGCAGTTTAGACTGAGTACGCCCACGGGGCTTCGTCTGATTGAGCGGTAGTTAGTGAAAACATCTAGGTTCCCGGGGGACACGAGGCAAAGAAAATAGTTTCAAGAGGATCTCCTAACTTCCTGATGGTCCTTTCTCAGAGTCATGTAGAAAGCTGCTTGGAAAAGATTAGGAGAATAAAAGGTCAATAGAATCAGTGTTAAGATAAATGTGCAGTCTTCGTTTGAAAGCAGACCTCATTTCAATTGGCAGGTTATTCCAAAGAAAGCTATATCTGGGAGCAAAAAACAAGGAGCGTTTAGATGAGCAGGATGCAGGAGGGGGTATAACAAATGCCGAGTTTCTTAGGTTGTAGGGACGGCTGACCGGGGTAATGACAGAAAATTTGGGGAGATTTGTGCTATTATTAGGGCGAAAAAGAAGACAAAAGCCTGTTTCCAACCTCCTGACCCAAATAAATCTTAGTTTCGTTAATTGGCACCTATTTGAGTAAGAAGTACTGGAAAATGTTGGATAAAGCAGTTTTCATGTGAACTGTTTTTGTACTTTTTCAATTTTTGAACGGCTCATTTCATTCATCAGACCGAAGAATGGGCAACAGTATTCTAAGATGGGAGTCACAAACATACGATAAAGTCTTAATTTCATTTCAGGAAGATAGAAATTATA